GATGGATGGATGGATGGATGGATGGATGGATGGATGGATGGATGGATAGATGGATGGATGGACGGATGGATAGATGGATGGAAATCTAAAGCGTGGTGTGGATTAATACAGAGAACTGCAACGTTCCCAACCAAAGGAGCCTTTTCTGCTCTTCAACATTAGGCTGCAAAATGAACATGAAACTTAAAATACTTAAAATACAACTCAGTAGATGTTTTGTAATTACTACAAATAAAACAACAAGTTTGTAACAATATACAACAACCTCTGGAACTGTTGATAGTTTTCTGGTACTTTTAAAACAAAGAAAAAGCCCAAACTCTTACAACAACAAAAAAAGAAACGTCTTTTTCTAGACTCCCTTAGATAAAAATCTTAACACTAAACTTGATTCAAGTCTTCGTACATTTGTGGAACATAATTATTACAATTATCCCATTTTAAAGTAATAAAGCAAAATGTTGGAGCTAAGATAAAAACCAGAGCAGTTTGTAGGATATAAAAACGCAGCTTGAAAGAGTTCATCTTTTAAAGATACTCATTGTAAAACAGGTCCACAATGGTGGTTGTCCACACAACATCTGAGTGGGTCTGAAGGTGTTGGTCGATCCGACTTGTTGAATAAAGTATGAAGAACAAAAACAGAAGTTGGAACAGTAAACTGACTTTTCCCCACATTTAAAACTTTTATATTTCCATTCTCCTCCCACATACTTTGCTTGTCTGGTTTGTTTACGTCCACAGACAAACAGCCTGCTGGAGGTCGATCTTATGCACTTTGTTTACACCGAGTGCGTACCTGCATTTCAGAACTGCCTATCAGTATATGTGGAAAATTACTGCACCGTTGGACTTAGTTTAAAGGATAAGCTTTATCCTCATCCTTTTCAATGAGTACCTTTAAACCTGAGACCATTCATTTCAACTTTACCCAAAGATGCTCCTTCGAAGTCTTGGTGTATCAGAAAGACTCAACAAATAAATTTGTTTTCCTGTAAATTTAAATATTGTTCATTCCCATGTTGGTCCAGAGCGCTCCAGAGGGACCACGGTGTGGCCCCAGAGCCGCAGGTTGCACAGCCCTGCACAATGAGTGATGATGAAGAGGTTGTCCCATCTTATCCTGGGGGGCCCTCCAGTGTCCATTCTAAAAGGGGCACATAAATAAGTCTTTGGCAGTATTTTGGCTCAAGGGGGGTTCATATGACACAGAAAGGCTCCATGGGGGTCTGTGTCCCCAGGCAGCAGGAGAAACAGGCCCTGAGTCTGACTCGCAGCTCCTTGTTGAACAGGAAGCTGATGATGGGGTTGGCCCCTGCCTGGGCGAAGCTCAGCCACACGGCGGCGGTCAGGTGGAGCTGCGGGACGGGGGCTCCGCGCACAAATATCCGCAGGTAGCACGCGCTGATGTATGGAGCCCACAGGATGAGGAAGGTCAGGGTGATCATGTAGAACATCTTGCCGATGCGTTTCTCTGTCTTGAACTCGTCCAGGACCAGCAGCCTCCTGTTGCCGGGGTGACAGGCCTGCCGGATGCCCACCAGTGTGGGCGGGGTGGGCCCATGGCCGAAGCCCGCGATCCAGTTGGCTGCAGCTTGCCCAGTGGCTCCAGGCCCGTGGAAGGTCCAGTTCTGGCTGATGGCCGGCACCAGCTGGGCCGGCTTCATCTTGCGGTGGTCGTAGACGAAGCAGAGCATCTTGATGTAGACCACGTGGGTGGTCCCCACGATGACCACCAGCATGAGCATGAAGCCCAGTGTGTCGTTGGCCTGCACGTAGCGGTGCTCGAACGTGCACTGCTCCTCCTCGCGGATGAACTTGTACGTGCCCACGTCGAACACCGGGGGGGAGGCCATGGCCACGGACAGGGTCCACACCATGCAGATCACCGCCACGCACGTGCACAGGTTCATGCGCTTGGAGTAGAAGCGGTGGTGCGCGATGGCCATGTAGCGCGTGACGCTGACGCAGAAGAGCAGGAAGGCCACGTGGAAGCAGAAGAGCACCGACAGGAAGGCGACGAGCTTGCAGCTGAGCGCTCCGTACGGCCACGCGGAGCCGCCGCCGACCGACGCCATCACGAGGGGGAAGCACACGGCGGCGCGCAGCACGTCTGCCGCGCACAGGTCCAGCAGGAAGTAGTAGGGAGCCCTGCGCAGGGAGGCGTCCCTCAGCAGCAGCAGCGACAGGGACACGTTCCCCAGCAGGCTCGTGGCCGTGATCAGAGCCAGCGAGGCCAGCTTGACCGCGCACGCTGCGTGGTTCTGGAGGGACGAGCTGCTCTCCCCGAACTCACTTGTGTTTGCCATGAGCAGAGCGCGTGCCCCTCTCCCCGCATCAAATCCTCCGCCCTGCACCTCCGACACCGACAAGAAGCCAGGAAGGAAAACATGAAACCAGAACCAAACCACTCCGTTTCTTCTTCTTCCTCTTTTTATCCCTCATTTCTGTCTCGTGCTTTCGAGCTCGGTCCTCCTCGCAGCATCAGCACCAGCCCGCTCAGAGGACGCATCCCCCTCCCTCCTCCCCCCCGGCGGCTGGGGGCTCTCCGTTCTCTGTCAGGGAGGAAAAAAGAGACCCCGGCAGCGCCACAGTGACGCATTGAGCCGAACCAGGCCGGCTGGACAGAACCGGAGCACCGGAGGCTGAGGGTTCGGTTCCGTCACACCAGCTGTGTTTCCAATGCGACGCACGTCCGCTCGGATCCGGAGCGGCCGGTCTGGGATCAGCAGGATGTTGGCAGGCAGATCAGCAGCTCTGCGCTGATAGGCAGATTAAACCAACTCCCTGCGTGGCTTACACACACACACACACACACACGCACGCACACCCCCCCCCCCCCCCCCCCCACACACACATGAATATTCTGGATCTAGGCTGAAATAAATATAGTCTCTCGTGCTCAGTAGGTTTATTAAAAACACTCAGTAAAGATGAACGTGGACCCAAAGCGCTTTAAAATGCGTCATCAATAAATCCACATGCCTTCATCATGTGATAAACAAATGTGTTTGTTTGTTTGGTTTATTTCCATACAAAATAATAATAATTTCCCTTTGGGATTAATAAAGTATATTTGAAGTGAATTGAATTGAATTGAATTGAATTGAAAACGAAAATATAAAGATACAAAAGTGCACAAGTATAACTCCACTTTTTGTGTGGCTCACATCACAAAGGAGTGAGGAGAAGTATTAACCCCTTCACCTTCACTTATCCATATTAAGTCCTTGTTAGTACAACCACTAATAACAAAAATAGACATGTTTACAATATGATGCTATTTCTTAATTAATTTATTTAAAATATGTTTTGAGATTTATTCAACTCCACACTTACAAACCGGATTCCAAAAAAGTTGGGACAATAAACAAATTGTGAATAAAAACTTAATGCAATGATGTGGAGATGGTAAATGTCAATATTTTATTTGTAATATAACATAGATGACAGATCAAAAGTTTAATCTGAGTAAATGTAACGTTTTAAAGGAAAAATATGTTGATTCAAAATTTCACAGTGTCAACAAATCCCAAAAAAGTTGGGACAAGTAGCAATAAGTGGCTAGAAAAAGGAAATTGAGCATATAACGAACAGCTGGAAGACCAATTAACACTAATTAGGTCAATTGACAACATGATTGGGTATAAAAAGAGCTTCTCAGAGTGTCAGTGTCTCTCAGAAGCCAAGATGGTAAGAGGATCACCAATTCCACCATTGTTGCGCAGAGAGATAGTGCAGCAATACCAGAATGGTGTTACCCAGCGTAAAATAGCAAAGACTTTTAAGTTATCATCATCAACCGTGCATAACATCATCAAAAGATTCAGAGAATCTGGAACAATCGCTGTGCGTAAGGGTCAAGGCCGTAAAACTCTACTGGATGCTCGTGATCTCCGGGCCCTTAAACGTCACTGCACCTCAAACAGGAATGCCACTGTCAAGGAAATAACAGAATGGGCTCAGGAATACTTCCAGAAAGCATTGTCAGTGAACACAATCCACCGTGCCATCCGCCGTTGCCAGCTGAAACTCTACAGTGCAAAGAGGAAGCCATTTCTAAGCAAGCTCCACAAGCTCAGACGTTTGCACTGGGCCAGGGGTCATTTAAAATGGAGTGTGGCAAAATGGAAGACTGTTCTGTGGTCAGATGAGTCACGATTTGAAGTTCTTTATGGAACACTGGGACGCCATGTCATCCGGACCAGAGAGGACAAGGATAGCCCAAGTTGTTATCAACGCTCCGTTCAGAAGCCTGCATCACTGATGGTATGGGGTTGCATGAGCGTCGTCTCTTTCAGGGAAGACCCTGCATTTTTCAACACGATAATTAACCACATTCTGCAGCAATCACAACATCATGGCTACGTAGGAGAAGGATCCAGGTACTGAAATGGCCAGCCTGCAGTCCAGATCTTTCACCTATAAAGAACATTTGGCGCATCATAAAGAGGAAGGTGCGACAAAGAAGGCCCAAGACGATTGAACAGTTAGAGGCCTGTATTAGACATGAATGGGAGAGCATTCCTATTTCTAAACTTGAGAAACTGGTCTCCTCTGTCCCCAGACGTCTGTTGAGTGTTGTAAGAAGAAGGGGGGATGCCACACAGTGGTAAAAATGGACTTGTCCCAACTTTTTTGGGATTTGTTGACACCATGAAATTTGGAAACAACAGATTTTTCCCTTAAAATGATACATTCTCTCAGTTTAAACTTTTGATCTGTGATTTGTGTTCTATTCTGAATAAAATATTAGATGTTGGCACCTCCACATTGCATTCAGTTTTTATTCACAATTTGATTAGTGTCCCAACTTTTTTGGAATCCGGTTTGTAAATTGTTACACAACTTCAATCTCAATGCACAAATTATTAATTAACAAGAAAAAAAAAACTTTAAATTTTAACTTTCTTTTTGACAAAGCTATTACAAATATTTCCAGCTAAATGGCGTCATGGTGGAACAGTGGGTAAAGCTGTTGCCTCTCAACCAGAAGGTTGATGGATTAAATTCCAGCTGGAGACCTTTGGTGCATGTTCTCTCCGTGCACTCATTTGGACTCATTTAATTTAACTCAACATGTAAATGCTCCCACCCAACAACACGGTCACACTCTGGATCTCATTTTAACACGTGATGTCTCTGTTTGTAATTTGGTAATCGGTGACAACGTTCTCTCAGACCACATGCCTGTCTTGTTTGATATCATCCCGCCTTGTCCTACTGCTAAGTCATGTGATTCTGCATGTACCTCACGCGCCATTAACCGTTTCACTGCTGCACATTTTACTGAAGCTTTTAGCTCTGAGAGGATCGATCAGCTCTCAGTGTCTCTCTCCACCGAGGAGCTAACCTCTCAGCTTAACTCTGTTTGCTTAAATATTCTGGACCGTGTTGCTCCCGTTAAAACCAGGAAAACAAAACTTTTATCAGAACCATGGCTTAATAATCTAACGGCTCAAGCCGTTAGACAGCAGTGTAGGAGAGCTAAACGCAGGTGGAGGAAAGACAGGCTGCAGGTTTCTTTTCAAATCCTAAAGGAGAGTTGGCGTCATTATCAGAAGGCAGTTAAAGCCGCCAAATCGAAGTTCTTTTCTGCAATAATTGCCTCAAACTCCCACAACCCCCGAGCCCTTTTTTCCACCCTGAACTCAGTTCTACACCTCAGTGAACCTTCACCTCTAGAAGCCTCAACTGAGCTGTGTGAAAACTTCCTCCATTTCTTTTCTGAAAAAGTTGCAAACACCCGGGCACTCATTTCTCCACCTGCTCATGATCCGTCCATCCCATCTCATTGTGTTGCTGTTCTGGACCACTTCGAGCCCATCTCTCTGTCTTCCCTGGAGCAGGTCATGTGCGGCATGAAACCATCTGGCTCCCCTTTTGACGTTGTCCCCCCTCGACTCCTTAAGGAGCTTCTTCCTGTTCTGGGCCCTCCTGTTCTTGGCATTGTGAACAGCAGCTTAGCCTCAGGTGTGGTGCCAATAACTTTTAAACATGCTGCTGTCCAACCTCTCCTGAAAAAACCTAGCCTTGACCCCTCAGTCATGTCCAACTTTCGGCCTGTCTCCAGAATCCCATTTGTCGCTAAACTGCTGGAAAAAATAGTGGAGTCCCAGCTGAAATGCTTTCTAGAGGATAATGCCATCTTAGAGCTATTCCAGTCTGGCTTTAAACTTCTCCACAGCACTGAAACTGCTCTACTCAAGGTTTTTAACGACATTCTCCTATTCACAGACGGTGGTGATTCTGTGCTCCTTCTCTTTCTGGACCTCACATCTGCCTTTGATACAATTGACCACGAGATCCTCATTGCGAGGTTAGAGCAGTGGGTGGGCATCACTGGGTCAGCCCTCGAATGGTTTAGATCTTACCTCGCTGACAGGTCCTTTTGTGTCTCCATCAAAGATTTTAATTCAGCCTCAGAAGCGCTTAAATGGGGGGTACCGCAAGGGTCCATCCTTGGTCCTCTTTTATTTTCTTTATACCTGCTGCCACTAGGTGCTATTTTCAGGAAACATAACATACCTTTTCATTTCTACGCCGACGACTGCCAAATCTACTTCCCCCTCAGACTCAACAGTACTCGCTCTATTCAACCGTTACTGGGCTGCCTGGCTGACATCAGAGATTGGATGGCTTTAAATTTCTTGAGTTTCAACGAGAAGAAATCTGAAGTTATGCTGTTTCCTCCCAATGACACAATCACCAACCACTGCATCGACCTATCCGTTCTGTCACCGTTAGTCAAACAAAGAGTCACTAATCTAGGAGTGATACTTGACCCTTCTCTGAAACGCAACAATCATGTAAATATGATTGTTAAATCCTGCTTTTTCCAGCTGAGGCAACTGTCTAAGCTGAAGCCCATATTGTCCAAAAATAACCTGAAGACAGTAATTCATGCATTCATTACATCCAGGCTCGACTATTGCAACTCACTCCTTTTTGGTATCAGTCAGACCTCCATAGCTAGACTCCAACTGGTCCAAAATGCAGCAGCCCAGTTTTTGACCAGCACAAGCAAAAGAGAGCGCATTACACCTGTTTTGGCCTCCCTACACTGGCTTCCGGTTCACCTTCGAAATCAAATTCAAAATATTCTTGTATGTCTATAAATCACTAAACAGCTCTGCCCCCTCCTATCTTACTGATCTGCTCCAGCCGTATGTCCCACCACATTCTCTCAGATCAGCAGACCAGTTGCTCCTAACAGTCCCAGGAACCCGTCTCAAGCGCAGAGGTGACAGGGCCTTCTCTGTAGCAGGCCCAAGACTTTGGAATGAGTTACCTCTGCTCGTTAGACAGGCCCCCTCCCTCACAGTTTTTAAATCTCGCTTAAAAACACACTTCTATTCCTTGGCTTTCAGCACTGTGTGATCTGTGCTGAGTCTGTGTGCATCACACTGTGTTAGTCATGTTGCGGTTGTTGTTGTTATCCATTATTGTTTTTGTCGGTTTCTACTTTTTGGTGTCCTGTTATGTAATCTGTTGCTATGTGCTTGTTCTGTCTGTCCCTGTACAGCACTTTGGTGTGCTTTGTCACTGTTTAAAGTGCTTTATAAATAAATTGGTATGGTATGGTGCATGTGTGGGTTTTCTCCAGGTGCTCCGGAGACCAAAAACATGCATGTTAGACTGACTGGTAAGTGAGTGAGAGACTGAATGGTTGTTTGTATGTAATGGACTCGAGACCTGTCCAGAGTGTCTCCCACCTCTCACACAGTGACTGCTGGAAATGGGCACCAGTGACCCCTGTGACCAGGAAAGGAAGACACAGGTAAAAGATAATGGCTGGATGATGGATGATGAATGGCTGGATGCATGGATGATCCTGCTGAACACAATCTGTAGTGTTTGAACTTCACCAGCTCTGTAACTTTCAGTGTGTTAAGCTGTAAAAACAACGTTGGTGAACAATACAAACTGATCCAACATTTTTCAGTCAGGTCATCTGGACAGTTTTTTTTATGCTGAAACATTTCGCCTTCGATGCAGAAGGGTTTATCAGTCAAGGAAACACACAACAAAACTGATTCTTCCCCCAACAGCTAACTCCAAAGTGGAACAAACCAGTTTTGCTTGTGATAAGATGGTCTCTTTGGTACACCCCCTCCTCCATTGCCAGCCCTCTTCCTTGTTGACAGTCTTGTCAAACTGGTTGAAAACAACAAAGTCCATGCTCAATAATCCAGGTATACAGTCCAACATTTTTCAGTCAGGTCATCTGGACAGTTTCTTTTATTTTTTTAATGCTGAAACATTTCGCCTTCGATCCGGAGGAGTTTTGTTGTGCATTTCCTTGACTGACGAAGCCTTCCGGATCAAAGGCAAAACGTTTCAGCATAAAAAAATAAATATATATTAAAAAAAAAAAAAAAAACTGTCCAGATGACCTGACTGAAAAATGTTGGATTGTATACCTGTAACAAACCATTTAATGGTTGGACCAAAATAACCACACAAAAAGTCAAAATTATATTTATTTTCAAGGTGAAGTATAGCAGATTGGACCGGTTCTGGATCAGGAACGAGTCTATGAGACAGAGATCGGTTAGTGGTCGTGCAGGAGATAATGGAGAGCAAAAGTCAGAATGAGGAGGACCACTAACCGTCTCAGATGAGCTTGAAGGTTCTGGAGACTGACGAGGTCCAAACTGATCCGGATTGCTGCAGGAGAGGCTGAGTCCAATGAGGGGCTGCAACCGGCCGCAGCAACAGGTGGGTGGTGAGTCTGTTGAGCGAAGAGACATGGTCACACAAGCCAGGTTCCAAAACTGGAGAGCAGAAGACAGGAGGTACTGGAGAAGAAGACGAGGAGGCGTTGTCGTGCAGGCGAAGGTCAGAACCGAAAGCAGAAGACGTAATAATCCAAAGGGTCGAGCGAGAGACGATGTCCAGGTGAGTCGTGGGTCCATGAGCTGGGAGGTCAAGCCAAGAGGGGAGAACAAGAACCAGGAGCAGGACAGGAACAAGGACACAGGTAAACTATGACAAGGGGACACAAAGGCTATGGGGGAACAAGGCAGGATCATAAACACGAGGTATTTACTTGCAGTGAACTGTTTTCAACAACCGGGCACCGAAGAGGAGAAAGAGTGCAGCTTTTAAAGGGTGAGAGAGACAGGTGCAGCCAGTTGAGTTCAATGAGCTGCTGCTGGCTGCAGTGAAGACAAAACTAAACAACCGTGACATCACCCTCAACCAGCATGCAAAGAAGACAAACTAAAACTCACATACACAAACAAACATTACCAGAGCGGACAGAATAAATGAAACACAGAAAAGATCTATAGCAAACTTTAAAGAGTGATCAGGGTGACAGCAAATATAGTCTATGGAACGTGATTCGTGACAATACCTGGATTATTGAGCATGGACTCTGTCGATACAAACTGATGTTTTCAGGAGAATAAAAAGTGAACGTGGTTCTATAATGGTTCCACCAGTTCTCCACACAGTGGCTTAAATAAGGTGAAACCAGTGACCAGTAGAGGATAAGGAGTGAACTTGGTTTAACTCAGTACAGCAGTGCTTCTTCATGTTTTAGAGTGAATGTTTAATATTATGTTATATACAGTATATATTTAATATAATGTGTGCTTTACAAATAAGTCTCATCTTTGTTGGTTCCCATTAAAACCTAATAATTTTTGCATGGCTGTTAGACTCATGAATATCTAACCAGAATAATCTGTGAAAAATCACTTCATGTTGCTGCTGATCTGTTTCATGTTGCTGCTGATCTGTTTCGTGTTGATGTGGAGCAGAGTAGGAGAAGACCCTTTTGCCTAGTTCAGTCCTCACTGAGGGAACACTGCAGGTAATAATGTCCTGAGAGCGCACGCCGTAGCTGCACTCACGCAGAGACATGTAGGAGGAGATGTATGAAGGCAGCAGACCAAGAAGTGATTTAAAGATGAAAATGTACCAGTGGGAGAGTCTGCGTGAAGTTAATGATGTCCAGTTAACCAGTGAATACAGGGTGCAGTGGTGGGTACGATAATCACAGCCAGTTATGAATCTTAGTGCACCATGATAGGCAGCATCCAACATCTGCAGGGTTCTTGTAGGAGCGTTCATGTAAATAATGTCACTGTAATCAATGGAGGGAAGGAAAGTCACAGATACATTTCCTAGCATTCAGTTAGACAGGATCTATTTCTGAAAATGAAACCCAGTTTAACTTTCAGTTTCTTTACTAGGTTTTCCACATGGAGCATAAAAGAGAAATGCGAGTCCACCAAGATACCCAAATATTTATAGGAATCAACAAACTCAATCGGGACATCATTTGAGGATAAAATCTGAGGAAGAACTGCTGGGACCAACTTCCTATTTGAAAAAAGCATCCCTTTGGTTTGTCGGCATTTAGGACAAGTTTGAGGCGGAACAAATCTGTCTGGATGTAGTTGAATGCAGATTTCAAAAGCTAGAAAGCCTTATCAACTGTTTTAGCTCGACAATAAACAACTGTGTCAACAGCATAGAAATGTATGGATGCATTAGGGATGTTATTACCAACGTTACGTATGTAGATTGTAAAGAGGGTGGGTCCTAAGACTGAGCCTTGTGGTACACCATTGTTGACTGTTAAATAACTGGAAGAAGTACCATTATGTTGAACACATTGCCTCCAGTCTGGGAGATAGTTAGAGAACCAAACAATGGTGTGATCTGAGAAACCAATTTCTGAGAGCCTAGGACACAAGATGTTATGATCCACAGTGTCAAAAGCTTTAGACAGGTCTAAGAAAAGTGCAGCACAATAATCCTTAGCATCCAGTGCTTCAACAACGTCATTAAAAACCTTAATTGAAGCAGTCATTGTGCTGTGTTTCCTGAAACCAGATTGATGGAGAGGTAAGATGTTAAATGAGTCCAAATATTTTTTGATTTGAGAGTTTATCAGTTTTTCTAGAACCTTGGCTAAAATGCAGAGTTTAGAGATTGGTCGATAGTTGTTCAGTGAGGTGGGGTCTCCTCCCTTCAGCAAAGGAAGAACAAAGGCTGTTTTCCATGTGTCTGGAACAGAGTTTTGGCTTTGGACAGGTTAAAGATGTGGGACACTGGCTCTGAAATGATGTGTATGGCTAGCCTTAAGAAATAAGGTGGAAGGTCATCTGGGCCTGCAGATTTTAGAGTCTAGAGCAGGGCTATTCAACTGGTGGCCCGGGGGCCAAATCAGGCCCACGGATTAACTCAGTTTGGCCCACCAATGAGTTCATTTTTAAATAAAACTAGATTTTAAACCATAAAATAAATGTACTTAATGAGAACAACTGCTGGATGTCTGGCCCCTGAGCTCTTGGCTTTCAGTAACTGTGGCCTCTGAGCAGTTTAGTTGAATAGCAAACTTGGTTAAGAAAAGTAAGCTTCATTTGCATTTCCCAACCGTTGGGCGCTTGTTTGTAGTTTTACCTTTACAAATATTTGTATTATAACTTTGGTGAGATTCATCTGGTTTGTTTTTTGACGAAGTGTGCGGCGAAAACTGATCAGAGTGAGCTATCATTTTCCTTCTCTCTGTGGGGCGGATCATCGGTTACGTTTCTGCCCAACGACGCAGTGACGTCACAGTAGGTGGGCGGAAAGCGGTAGAGTGTTTCGGTTTTCGAGGATAAAGCCCGAACCGGGTGTTTTTATTCAGAGAATTCACTCAGAAGAAATACCGAGGAGACTTTAGCGTGTCTCCTGCTGAAAATGGCGGTCCCCGCGGGTCAGGCAGACGTCCAGATGGACAGAGGCGGCCTGAGCGGCCAGACGGTCCCCTCTGAGAGCAACATTGACATCGACGAGAGAGAGTTGGATAACATCACAAAGAAACAGCGAGAAGACGACACAACGACGCTGCCTTTGCACTCACCTTGGACGTTTTGGCTGGACAGGTAGCATTTTGGCTTTCTTCCGTGTTGTCTCTGAGTTCGGAGCCCCGTGACGGAGCAAGCTAGGAGCGGGGGGCACGCAGAAAAAATACTAGTCAAGGCCACAGCTTTCCGAAGGCCTTCAGGAGTAAAACCCAGCGAGGAAAATGTTTCTGTTTTTGGGCTACTTCGACCTTTTCTGTTTCTACAAATCTCAACAGCTTAGGCAGCTTTATATCTGCGTAGACGCTCAGTAGAAGGCCAGTTTGGAAATGTCCTACACTCAAAGGGACAAGTGAACCTCTCACTGTTATTTAACCTTCCAGCTGGAGGAAGTTTGGTTTCGCAGGACTGTGAGAGTTTGGAGTGAAAATACGTATATAAATTTATAAAAATATATAAAATCACATAGCTTATATTCTCCTGATGGCTGTCTGATGTAAACCTTGAACACACTGTCCTTTGTTGAGCTGCTGTGTAATGACATAGGAGCATTTTCTGTTGATTTTTCTGTTGTTTTATAAACTCAGGGGATTATTTGTTGTTATCAATAGATTGTTCTTTATTTGTCTGCATGTTTTGCATCAGAGCAGAAGTTTTTAAAATTCGGCTAACATGAGAGTGTTCTACATCCTTTTTGTATTTGCCAAGTGTTGATTTATTATTAGGTGTGTGGACAAATATTTAAAGGCTTTAAATTTAAGAAAAGCTTTAAAAGTCAAATCATGTTTCTGGGTATTGAAACAAACAAAATGGAAACTTACAGTGTTTTCAAATTCTATGTAGGTCAGTCATGTGACTGATGCTTCCACGTGTTTTCAATGGATTTGTTTGTTTACTTGGAGCGTGGACCTGCATTTCAGAGTCGCTCAGGCATCTGGAAAACTACTGAAATACTTTTTTCCAAACTGCAACATTTGATACACTTCAGGATTAACCTGTTTATGTTTTACTATACAGCTTGCAACAAATATCTTTAATTTCCTGAATTTCCATTGATGTGAAAGTTGTCATTGTCACAAAAGGTGGCATAATTTCTACCTTTTTTTTTTTTAAAGATTTCTATGAAACGTTAGCAATGCTAAAAAGTTTCAACACATTTATCAAATAACACATGTGTTATTTGATAAATGTGTAGAAACTTTTTTCTGTTAGAATAATATTAATCTGTTCACTTGTGTTAAATAACTATCCATATATTTTAATCACCCCAAAGACTGAGACTCTTATTACATATATTATTATTATTTCAAGCTTTTAATCGTGAATACAAGTATGTGCTGACAAATCAAATGTTGTAAAATCAATTAAAAGTCAGTTAGGATGTTGAAAAGTTTGTTTTGCACCTTTAGAAGAGCCAAGCGGCTTTTATTGGAGCAAAAGTTCAAAATAATGCCACAAATATTTCTTAAGTGCAGCAGACACTTAATAATCTGACGTCTTCTATTTCAGCCTCCCTTTATTCCAATTTATTAACTAAGACTTTTCTTATTCAGTGGTTGGGACCTTGGTGGCAGCTGAGCCAGCAGTGCTGAATAAGTGATGCTCAAATGATGCATCCTGCATGACACAATGACTTTTTTAGTGTTATAATTAAAAATGTTTACGTATTGGATTTCTGTTGGTTTAAGATTGAAATAAACATTTTTTAAATAATAATTGTGACTTGACAAATAAAAATAATCTGTGGGGAAAATAATCATTTTGAAGTGGACTTATGATTCTGTAGAAATATAAAACAAACTCGTGAGGAGGACAAAATGATGTGGTTGAAGTCCACGTGTCATTAAGTTAATTATACTACTAGCATACTTTCTGTTTAATTACCCTGTTGTGTATATGATTCATAAAAGTCTGGAAAGGCCCATCGTTTGCCATAAAGTGTACCATCTGTACCATCTGTGTGAGCCTCGTTTCAAAGCAGCTCCTGCAGGTTGTGTGTGACAGCGCTCTTGTGATTTCTGACTCCAGGATGAGGTTGAACACTTTCCACTTGCTCTTCTAGGTCGTTACCGGGCACAACGGCTGCAGAATGTGAATCCAACCTCAAGAAGATCTACACGGTTCAAACTGTCCAGGTGAGTCACCATAAACAGACATTTTAGGAGCCATGGGGTCGAGAGCAGGATGTGGCTTGAAGTCTTCAGCCGGGAGCAAAGACCGAAGACTTCCCTGCAGCTGTCAGCTGGTTTTTACACGTCACTGAGCGTCACGCCAGCGCTGCTTCCTCATGAACATAAAGCAACATGAGACTGTTGTTCTGTGGCTGACGGCACATTATGGTGATGGCAACAGGTCCAAAACCCGTCAGAACATATTAAAGATCAGCACACTGCAGTAATCCACCCTGATTAATAAAAACCTGACTGAGTGGATCATTTTATGAGGATTAAATTTTTCATTAAAACTTTTAGCTGAAAGAACAAAAAGCCATATTTTCAGAATGTTTACGTGGATGGGTGTTATTATTAGACCTTATAAACAATAAATCTATCGCATGATAAAATTATTTCCCTCGTTTTCATTTATCAGCTTTATCGTTTCGTCATGTGTCTCTCTTTCTACTGAAGATACTGGATGACAAAAAGGCTCAACTGGTGCTCTTCACTGACCCGTCCATTTCTCTGTTCTCTTTAAAATCCATTTTAATGATCCAAAATCATGTCTGTCTTGTTGAAGCTCCAAAATTCACAGATGAAACCCATGTCTTTGTGTAAAAAGTAGTTTTTCTCTGCAAAAAAGAAGCTAAGAACTTGTTTACTGATTTTTTTAAATTAAAAGCTCTGTGAGAAAAATGCTATGCTAAAGAGCTCAAACCATCACCATTTTGAGAACCAAACAAACAGGAAAGCAAAACTTCCCATGTCGCATCAAGAGGCCTCCCTCCCATTTTTCTTAAAGAGATGCGCTGCTCGCTCCCTCACTATCCATCCTTCTGTTCAAACAGTCTTATACTGCCATCCAGTGGTCATAAAAAGGTAGTACACACAAAATAAAAACCATTTCTTCTTAAATTTGATAATAATTACTAATTATTATTTCAAACAATATTATTGTTTATCGCAATAATTTCTGAGACAATTAATCGCCCAGCAATCGTGACAGGCCTAGTTATTATCTAAAATCATCATGTTGATGTGTTCATGCGTGCTCATCTGCTCACACAGACTCATGTTCATGCTGCTGTTCGACGTAATGTTCTTATGTTAAGAGTGCTTAGTGTACATTTAGTTGATGTTTTTCTTAGTTCAAATCTTAGATCTTATTACTGTTTTTCTTTTACATTTTATTGGATGTAACTGGGACCCTGTGTACATAATTTCGTTCATGTACCACATGTGGTGGAACGACAATAAATTATATCTCAGTCTGAATCTACATCATCTGGCAGCTGAGGGAACTTCAGTCCATAAAGTTTTCTCCTGACCTGCTGTGGAGCTGTTCACTGGTAAAACCTGTGTAGTACTGACTGAGTTATCGGTCATGTCCAACGTCTGAGCAGTTCCTCCATCTTTGATGTGCTCATCTTCAGTGGAGAACCTCCGACTGTGAGGTGGATGTTCAGTACTGTAGCTAGACTAATGAAGTCCTGTCTCGGTTCTCCACACATCCTCCAGAAAACTGTCAGGTGTGAAAACGGTTTAGACGTGAGTTAACTCCTGGTTTTGTGACAACTCTTTTACAACTTTCCAACCTTAAAGTGGAAAATAAATGACTTGAAGCCTTTAGATTTTGATGCAGTGCCATCTGGCGCAGGGTTTAAGGTTTGTGGAGAAGTTTTTTTCACAGATGAACCTGAGCCCAGCTGGTGCAGACAGCCTGACACGGTAATTAAAGGGATGTTAAAGCTGCAGTCACGTGTCGTGACTGTGCTGCAGTGTCAGCTTCCAGTCCATGAAAACCTGCCTTTGATTAAAAAAAACTACCGGTAAATATATAAGCTGGCAGCTCGGCTCAACTTTACTGTTCCTGAGCAGGAATACAAAGAACTTGTGCAGTTCTTCCTTGATGGATTTGTTTCAGTGGTGCTTGAATGAAGTGTTTCACTGCAGGAGTTCACATTTAGAACGTAAAGCAGCTGATGTGTTTCTGTCACACATAAAAATAGGACTGAGGATCTTGACGTGGCAGCACGGTGGCGCAACTGGTAGAGCTGCTGCCTCTCAGCGAGCAGGTCCTTGGTTCAAACCCCGGTCCAGGGGCCTTTCTGGGTGGAGTTTGCATGTTCTCTCCGTGCATGCGTGGGTTTTCTCCGGGTACTCCGGTTTCCTCCCACAGACCAAAAACATGTTAGGCTGATTGGTAACTCTAAATTGTCCCTAGGTGTGAGTGAGAGAGTGAATGGTTGTTTGTCTCGTTTGTCTCTGTGTGGCCGTGATGGACTTGCGACCCGTCCAGGGTGTACCCCGCCCCTCGCACAGTGATTGCTGGACATGGGCACCGGCGACCCCCGTGACCCAAAATGGAATAAGCGGGTAAAGAAAATGGATGGATGGATGGATCTTAACGTGTACTTCTTTAAACGTGGTTGTAGATCGTTTTCTCCAAGGGGGGAGTGGGGGCACTCAGGTTAGGGAAACAATCTGATTGGAAGTTCAAATCCCTCTGCTGACCGTAACATCAAAATGTGGGTAGAAAAGCTGAAGCTCCCACATCTGCCTCCACTTTGAGCCCTTGAGCAAGGCTCTTAACCTCCACCATCTGCTCCCCTGGGTGCCCTTGATGGCAGCTCTCTGCTCCACACAGAGGGCTGTGGGAGCTCGGTGATCTGTGGTTGTGTCAGGAAGGACATCCGGTATAAAAACAATTGCCAAAACTTCGTGCGAGTTAGTTCACTGCGGCGACCCCTGAAGAGGAGAGCAGCCTGATTTGGTGGACACTCATCACCTTGATCACTGGTCTCTGCTGAGAAATTTGTGTCCAATAATTTCTGCCCGTTTTTTTTAAAATTACAAACAAGAAATAAAATAAAATCCACTTTGTTTGAAACCTAAAATGCCAGTTGTGTTTAACATTAAAACTAGAATTTATTCTATCATCAGTTTGGTTGATTCTCTCCAGCTAGTCTTATTTTTAATGATTTATTTTCAGTATTGACGTTTCTTTTAAAATCTTTACTCTTAACAAATTTTGCTGGGCGATTAATTGTCTCAGAAATTATTGCGATAAATGATAATATTGTTTCAAATTTGACAATAATTAGTAATTGTCAAGTTTAAGAAGAAGAGTTTGCATGTTCTCTCCGTGCATGCGTGGGTTTTCTCCAAGTACTCCGGTTTCCTCCCACAGACCAAAAACATGCATGTTGGGTTGACTGGTGACTCTGAATTGTCCCTAGGTGTGAGTGAGAGAGAGAATGGATGTTTGTCTCGTTTGTCTCTATGTGTCCCTGTGATGGACTGGAGACCTGTCCAGGGTGTCCCTCCCCCCTCGCACAGTGATTGCTGGACATGGGCACCGGCGACCCCCGTGACCCAAAATGGAAGAAGCGGGTAAAAGATGATGGATGGATGTTGGTTAATTTGTTTTGAGTGTAGTACCTTTTTTCAACCACAGGATGGCAGTATAAGACTGTTTGAACCGAAGGATGGATAGTGAGGGAGCAAGCAGCTTTTCTCTTTAAGAAAAATGGGAGGGAAGCCTCTTGATGTGACGGGCTGTCTCTCTTCCGTTCTAAAAATGGTGGACGCTCGGTATGATTTTAGCACTTTAGCATAGCATTTTTCACACAAAGCTTTTAATAAAACAATCAGTAAACAAGTTCTCAGCTTCTTTTTGCAGAGAAAAACTTTTCTACAAATGTACGGGTTTCAACCGTGAATTTTGGAGCTTTGACAAGACGGAGGTTTTTTCCCTCGATGTCGGCCTGTTAGCTTCTCTCTTAGCTTAGTTGCTTTTAACCGTCCAAAAACACGATTTTGGACGGTTAAAATGGATTTTAAAGAAAAAGGGTGGGGTCGGTGAAGAGCACCGGAGCTGAGTTTTTTGTCATCCAGTGTCTTCAGTAGAAAGAGAGAGACTCAAAGAAACAATAAAGCCGATAAATGAAAATGAGGTTGATGATTTTAATTTATCATGCGATTAATTGATTTATTGTTTATCGCGACAGGCCTACTCTTAACTTCAGTGAATTGTTGATGTCACACTGTTTCCTCAGAAACTGTCAAATTATTCTCTATCATTTTACTAGTTTTCCAAAGGATTTGTGTCTTATTAACACATTTATAACTTTTGGGGAAAACAATAAAATTTAAAGGAATAACTTGTGACCCGGCTGGGTTTATTTAAATGAAACAAACTCAACGCAGATTTTCTTTTCTCCATACAATTCATTTTATTTTTGCATTCAGCTAATGTAAATCACACCGGTCGATGTATCGGAATGAGTTTGGACACAATAATCAGTCATTTTGGTGGGCTGACATGCTTCTCATCTCTATAGATTTATATTAACGTACAGCTGACAGGAAAGCAGAACTATTGGTCATTATTACAACTTTTGTCCAGCAGAGAGCACCAGCACACAGACCTTTCAACAAGGAAATTTTTTTTTATTTTTTATTAACGGAGTATTAGCTGGCAGAGCATGATTTCTTTTATGTTTGCAGATGTTCTGGAGCGTTTATAACAACATCCCTCCTGTCACAGCCCTGCCTTTGAGGTGCAGCTATCATTTAATGCGTGGAGAGCGAAGGCCTCTGTGGTGAGTCCGTTTGTGCTGGGAGTAAAATATTTCCATCACCAGTGTTTCATTTGATTGGCGATCACATGTTGACACTCTGAAGGTGTACATTTGATCGACTTGTATTAACTATTCCTTGCTTTTATAAAATTATTGTACGTATCTTACATCCCTCTGGTAAGTTTTTTTTATATGTTGATCTATTTTGTTCTAACAGGGAAGAGGAAAGTAATGCTAAAGGAGGCGTGTGGAAGATGAAAATCCCTAAAGAAAACAGTGTAGGTGATGCTGTCTGTCTGTGTGTGTGTGTGTGTGTGTGTGTGTGTGTGTGTGAGTGTGTGTGTGTGTGTGTCTGTGTCTGTCTGTCAATGCAGCTGCTTCAGTAATCACATTCTGTGTTTTGGGGTTTCAGTCTACAGTTTGGAAAGAGTTGTTACTTGCTACTATCGGGGAGCAGTTTGCAGATAACTGTGCCTCAGGTACAGGAAACCGTAGAACCATCACAACCATGTCTGGGTGAGACCTGGTCTGTTGTTAACATGGTTTGTTCTTCTGTTTTCCAGACGATGAAGTCGTGGGTGTCAGTGTTAGTGTTCGAGATCGGGAAGATGTTGTACAGATATGGAATAAAGATGCATCTCTTGCTAACGAATCAAATATCTTGGGAAAAGTCTATGACCTGCTCCCCTATATATCCTTTAAAGCTGTTTTTTATAAGTGTAAGTATACTTTTTTTTTCTAGTTATGTGTACCTTTGGATAAGTTGTTAGGTGGAAAATTGAGAAAACTATAATTATATGCATTAAAGATTTTACCTGCCTTACAGATTTAAGACACTACTAATAGAGCCCAACTGATATGGAAATTTTGGCTATCGCCGATACCGATATTGGGAGGAGGGCGTGACCACAAGGACTAATAAAATGGGTGTAGATTTTTGAGCTTTGTCCAAAAGTAGAGTGGGGCTTATTAATTTAATGCAGCTGTTAGCAACCATGAAACTAAGCTAATCAGATCCACCTTTAATTAGTCCCACAGTAGGTTTACAAGTTATGCACCGGTCATAAAAACAGTCCGTGTGCTCACATTTTCTATCCTCCACTATTCATCATAAAGTTATCAAGTGTGTTGCATAAACTTAAATTAAACAAAGAAACATCTATATCGGCCTAAAATATTGGCCCTGTCCATATATCGGTTGGGGCTCTACTTAAAATTATACAGGTGCTGGTTATAAAATTAGAATATCATGAAAAGTTGATTTATTTCAGTAATTCCATTCAAAACGTGAAACTTGTATATTATATTAATTCATTACACACATACTAATATATTTAAACTGTTTATTTCTTTTAAAGTTGATGATTATAACTGACAACTAATGAAAACCCCGAATTCAGTATCTCAGAAAATTAGAATGTTACTTAACACCAATAAAAAAATTATTTTTTAGAAATGTTGGCCAACTGAACAGAATGAACATGAAAAGTATGAAGATGAAAAGTATGAGCATGTACAGCACTCAATACTTAGTTGGGGCTCCTTTCACCTGGATTACTGCAGCAATGTGACGTGGCATGGAGTTGATCAGTCTGTGGCACTGCTCAGGTGTTATGAGAGCCCAGGCTGCTCTGATAGTGGCCTTCAGCTCTTCTGAATTGTTGGGTCTGGTGTATCACATCTTCCTCTTCACAATACCCCATAGATTTTCTATTGGGTTATGTCAGGCGAGTTTGCTGGCCAATTAAGAACAGGGATACCATGGTCCTTAAACCAGGTACTGGTAGCTTTGGTACTGGTAGCTTTGACAGTTTGTGCAGGTGCCAAGTCCTGTTGGAAAATGAAATCTACATCTCCATAAAGTTGGTCAGCAGCAAGAAGCAGGAAGTGCTCTAAAACCTTCATGGTAGACGGCTGCGTTGACCTTGGACCTTGGAAAACACAGTGGACCAACACCAGCAGTTGACATGGCACCCCAAACCATCACTGACTGTGGAAACTTGACACTGGACCTCAAGTAACGTGGATTCTGTTCCTCTCTTCTTTTCCTCCAGACTCTGGGACTTTGATTTCCAAAGGAAATGCAACATTTACTTTCATCAGAGAACAACTTTGGACCACTCGGCATCAGTCCCAGGCGCGACGCTTCTGACACTGTCTCTTGTTCAAGAGTGACTCGACACAAGAAATGTGACAGCTGAAACCCATGTCTTGCATACATCTGTGCGTGGTGGTTCTTGAAGCACCAACTCCAGCTTCAGTCCACTCTTTGTGAATCTCCCCCACATTTTGGAATGGGTTTTGTTTCACAATCCTCTCCAGGGTGTGGTTATCCCTATTGCTCGTACACTTTTTTCTACCACATCTTTTCCTTCTCTTTGCCCCTCTTTTAATGTGCTTGGACACAGAGCTCTGTGAACAGCCAGCTTCTTTTGCAATGACATTTTGTGTCTTGGTGTCCTTGTGCAAGGTGTCAGTGGTTGTCTTTTGGACAATTGTCCAGTCAGCAGTCTTCCCCATGATTTTGTAGCCTACAGAACTAGACTGAGACCATTTAAAGGCCTTTGAATGTGTTGAGTTAATTAGCTGATTAGAGTTTGGCACCAGGTGTCTTCAATATTGAACCTTTTCACAATATTCTAATGTTCTGAGATACTGAATTTGGGGTTTTCATTAGTTGTCAGTTATAATCATCAACATTAAAAGAAATAAACATTGGAAATATATCAGTATGTGTGTACTGAATGAATGTAATATACAAGTTTCACTTTTTGAATGGAATTACTGAAATAAATCAACCTTTTCATGATATTCTAATTTTATGACCAGCACCTGTAGTTTCCTCAAATGATTGGGGTTGCCCTCAGGGTGGCTGAAAATTAATCTATGGTGTCCAAGGCCACCATTGGCCACCCCCTGGCTCTACCATTGCACCTGGTCATGGATAAAATTGCTCCCTCCACTCGCCAGGATCCGTCACTCTGCGCCGCCTCAAACAAGCCAAAAAAAAAATCTACCTGTTCTTCTGCACAGTGTAACTCCTTTCTACTTGAATGTCTTGCACCAAAAACATTTAGGTTTACTTGCATTCCCTGTTCAGTTCCAGTCCAGAAAAACACTCATCATGAAAACTACAAACGTTCACTCTTCAAATCCCTGAGTGATGGGGGCATCTGCGTCCAGCTTGTTTTAGATCGTATTACTCTGTTTTAAGACTTGGGAAACAATACGGTGGGGAGAACAAGTATTTGATAGACTGTTGATTTTTCAGGTTTTCCCACTTGCAAAGCTTGTAGATGACTGTAATTTTTATCATAGGTACCCTTCAACTGTGAGTGATGGAATCTAAAACAAAAATCCAGAAAAATACAATGAATGATTTTTAAATAATTAATTTCCATTTTAGTGTGAAATAAGTATTTGATACACCAGAAAAATGAAACTTAATATTTGGTACAGAAACCTTTGTTTGCAATTACAGAGATCAGACGTTTCCTGTAGTTCTTGACCAGGTTTGCACACACTGCAGCAGGATTTTGGCCCACTCCTCCATACAGATCTCCTCCAGTGCCTTCAGGTTTCGGGGCTGTCGCTGGGCCACACGGACTTTAAGCTCCCTCCAAAGATTTTCTATGGGATTCAGGTCTGGAGACTGGCTAGGCCACTCCAGGACCTTAAGATGTTTCCTACGGAGCCACTCTTTAGTTGCCCTGGCTGTGTGTTTTGGGTCGTTATCATGCTGGAAGACCCAGCCACGACCCATCTTCAGTGCTCTTACTGAGGGAAGGAGGTTGTTGGCCAAAATCTCATGATACATGGCCACATCCATCCTTCCCATAATATGGTGCAGTCGTCCTGTCCCCTTTGCAGAAAAGCATCCCCAAAGAATGATGTTTCCACCGCCATGCTTCACGGTTGGGATGGTGTTCTTGGGGTTGTACTCATCATTCTTCTTCCTCCAAACATGACGAGTGGAGTTTAAACCAAAAAGTTCTTTTTTTGTCTCATCAGACCACATGACCTTCTCCCATTCCTCCTCTGGATCATTCAGATGGTCATTTGCAAACTTCAGACGGGCTTTGACATGCGTTGGCTTGAGGAAGGGCACCTTGCGTGCACTGCAGGATTTTAATCCTTGACGGCGTAGAGTGCTACTGATTGTTTTCTTTGAGACTGTGGACCCAGCTCTATTCAGGTCATTGACCAGGTCCTGCCGTGTAGTTCTGGGCTCATTCCTCACCTTCCTCAAGATCAATGATGCTCCACGAGGTGAGATCTTGCATGGCGCCCCAGACCGAGGGAGATTTTCCGTTATTTTGTATTTCTTCCATTTTCTAATAATTGCACCAACTGTTGTTGCCTTCTCACCAAGCTGCTTGCCTATTGTCCTGTAGCCCATCCCAGCCTTGTGCAGGTCTACAATTTTATCCCTGATGTCCTTACACAGCTCTCTGGTCTTGGGCATTGTGGAGATGCTGGAGTCTGATTGATTGAGTGTGTGGACAGGTGTCTTTTATACAGGTCACGAGTCCAAACAGGTGCAGTTAATACAGGTAATGAGTGGAGAACAGGAGGCTTCTTAAAGAAGAACTAACATGTCTGTGAGAGCCAAAATTCTTACTGGTTGATAGATGATCAAATACTTATTTCACACAATAAAATGGAAATTAATTATTTAAAAATCATACATTGTATTTTTCTGGATTTTTGTTTTAGATTCCATCACTCACAGTTGAAGAGTACCTATGATAAAAATTACAGTCATCTACAAGCTTTGCAAGTGGGAAAACCTGAAAAATCAACAGTATCAAATACTTGTTCTCCCCACTGTATATATTTTAATGTTTAGATAAAGTTTTAGAACCAGTCAGAAGGTGTGCCTTCTATTTGCCTTAATCCAGTTGTGCTGGTAAAAACATTTGTTTTCCAAAACTTTTATTTTGTTATCAACCAAAATGAATGAATATTTCAAGCCTTTTGATTAATTGTAAAGTCTTGACTTTTAAATCTGATGTCAAATAAAAATATTTCAGAATCTCATTAATTTAACTTTTAGCTGTATACATTTCCAACTGAGTATTTTTTTTCTTCTGACTGTTTCAGCCCACATGGAGCATCATGCCTTCGAGGGAGGACGCTCGAGACATTAGATTGTGACGCACTTTAAAAAAAAAACGAACTCTGAACCTGCCTGAACCCAAAAGCGACGTTCACCACCTGGTTAAGGATATTATTTTTGCTTTTAACAAGAAATTATCAATATATTTTTATAGCCTTCAATAACTGCTGCCTTGTTTGACCCTGTCCTAAAGCTCTGAACTCCTCAGAGAATGTACATTCAGCGTAGATCCTACCTTCACTGGTTTGTGTTCGCTGAGGCGTCCTGCTTTACTGAACTGCACTGTCATGGTCTCTGCCTGTGGACCCCACCTTCATTCCTTTGGAGAGATTCACACATTTGATCAATTTTAGCTGTAAATGTCTGCATTCACATCAGGATCTATCAGCTTGTTTAGTGCCAAAGCACTCGTCTGCTCTTTAACATGTTTGTACTGTAATAATGAGTGTTTTTATTCAAATGGGTTTTATCTCTTTGGACTGAGAGAATGGCCTTTTTCATCAGCTGCGTCAAACTAGAGTGCGCTCAGAAATCTTGCACATGACTGTTTCAGTCCCAGTTTGAGTTTAGTCTCCTGTTCAGACGTGGCTCAAATGACGTCACAGCTCTGCTCCAAACACAACCCTGCAGCGAACGTGTCTCCGGACGGCTCTGGGATTGTTTCAGCACAGCTTGCATCAAACATCCCTGCGGAGTAGACTCTAAATGTTTAGAAGCTGCATGTTTTTTATGCTCTTGTACTCGTCCCTACGTTTTACCCTACAGTGGTTTTCTCACCACACTGTGTCCTACTGTCACCACAAACAACACGATATTACTTTCGTGGTTTTTCACGTCATGTTTTTCCTGATTGAGATCATGTTGAAGTTTAGTTTTTAAGAGAGAGTTTAGTTTTTAAATGAATAGGGAGTTTCAGTAGCCGTGAGATGTATGGATGTATACTGCTGTTCAAAAACAAGTGTTCATTGAATACATTTGCCTCTTCATAATAAAGGTTTAAACCAGTAAATAAGATCTACAGAGCCTCTGGAAAGTACTCACAGTGCCTCACTTTTTCCACATTTTGTGTTACAACCTTATTCCATACTGTATCAAATTACCCTCTTCAAAATTCTACCCACAACGTCCCTTTATGACAATATGAAAAAAGTAGGGATGCTCCAATCAGTTTTTTTGCTGCCGCTCACCGATACTGATCACATGGATTGGCTGTAATTTTTTTTGATTTAGTTAAGATGATGAGTGCTACTTGCTAAAATGTGGAGAAAGTGAAGTGCATACTTTCTGGATGCTCTGTAAATAATGTCATTCTGTTTTAATCTGGACCGTTCACCTAACGTCTAATCTCAATTGTTGCTACTAATCCTCTTAATCTACAGCTGTTATATTCCAGTAAAAGACAAATTATTTAAAGCAGGCTGGTATTTTCTTGTTACACCACTTTTATAGTTCAACTTTGGACTGGACAGCTTTTATTTTGGTGAACACAAGTTTTGCATCGTATGAACCAAGCCAATAAATGGAGCTGAAAATCCAAGTTTCTCTGGTCTTTCTTGTCCACAGAACATCTGGTGAAGAATAGTTCATGGCCCTGACTGTAATCCCTCTGAGTTTAATGTTTATTAGTTTATTTTTAATGCTGTCCCACCTGAGGTTCTGTGACAAAAAGCCTGTTTTTAAAGCAGGTAATCTCATTTACAAGACAGAGCTGTGATGCAGGTGGCTCGGTGGAGCTGTTGCCTCTCAACGAGGTGGTCGCCGGATTGAATCCCGTCTGGAAGCCTTTCTGGGTGGAGCTTGCATGTTCTCTCCGTGCATTTGTGGGTTTTCTCCAGGTACTCCAGTTTCCTCCCACAGACCAAAACATGTATGTTAGGCTGATTGGTGACTCTAAATTGACCCTAGGTGCAAGTGAGAGAGTGAATGGTTGTTTGTCTCATTTGTCCCTGTGATGGACTGGAGAACTGTCCAGGGTGTCCCCCACCTCTCACACAGTGACCCCCGCTACCCTGAGTGGAAGAAGTGGGCAAAGATGATGGATGGAGTTAACGGACACATAAAATTAGTTCCATAAAAACAACAATCATGAAGTACACTGCATGGCCCAAAAAACAGTCTAATACACTAATATTTTGTTGGACTGCCTTTAGCTTTGATTACATCATACATTCACTGTGACATTGTTTCAATAAACTTCTGCAATGTCACAAGATCTGTTTCCATCCAATGTTGCATTAAATTTTCACCAAGATCTTGCATTGATGACTAGGCATGATGGGTGCATCACTTCACCTGCCTCTCTTCTTACCCTGATGCATCCATCACTCTGGAACAGGGTAAATCTGGACTCATCAGACCACATGACCTTCTTCCATTGCTCCTGAGTCCAATCTTTATGCTCCCTAGCTACTTGAAGCCTTTTTTTCCAATTAGCCTCACTGATTACTGGTTTTCTTAAGGCTACACAGCTGTTCAGTCCCAATCCCTTGAGTTCCCTTCACATTGTGCGTGTGGAATGCTCTTACTTTCACTATTAAACATAGCCCTGAGTGCTACTGTTGTATTTCTTCCATTTGATTCCTCCAAACGTTTAAGTGACCGCCGATCACGATCATTCAGAAATTTTTTCCGGCCACGTTTCTTCCTCAAAGACGATGGGTCCCCACTATCCTTCCAGTTTTTAATAATGCGTCGGACAGTTCTTAACCCAATTTTAGTAGTTTCTGCAATCTCCTTAGATGTTTTCTCTGCTTGATGCAGCCAACGATTTGACACTTCTCAAACAGACTGACATCTTTTCCACGAACACGCGATGTGTCTTTCAACATGGTTGTTTAAGAAATGAGAAACAACTCATTGCACCAGTTGAGGTTAAATAACTTGTTGCCAGCTGAAAGATAATCGCCCATGCAGTAATTATCCAATAGGAGGCTCGTAACTATTTGCTTAGTTAAATCTAAATGGTGACTTTTTTTGGCCAGGCAGTGTACATTGATGCTTAAAAGTGAGCCGAGTTTAATTCAACCTTTATTCATGCAGGTTAGTCTCATTGAGTCCCGAGGACTCATTTACAAAAGAGACCTGATTGCGGGAGTGGATGAGATTCACTCTGATTTCCTTAAGGCTCTGGATGTTGTGGGGCTGTCTTGGTTGACATGCCTTTGCAACGTCGCGTGGACATCGGGGGAAGTGCCACTACATTGGCAGACTGGGGTGGTGGTTCCCTTCTTCAAAAAGGGGAACCGGAGGATGTGCTCCAATTATAGGGGCATCACTCTCCTCAGCCTCCCTGGTAAGGTATATTCAGGGGTACTGGAGAAGCGAGTCCGATTGTTGGTTGAACCTCAGATCCAGGAGGAACAATGCTGGTTCTGTCCTGGCCGTGGAACACTGGATCAGCTCTTTACCCTCATTAGGGTCCTCGAGGGGTCATGTGAGTTTGCTCATCCATCTACATGTGTTTTGTGGACTTGGAGAAGGCATTCAACCGTATTCCTCGGGGTACACTGTGGGGGGTGATCCGTGAGTATAGGATTGGGGGCTCGTTGTTATGGGCTGTTTGGTCCTTAAGCGGTGCGAGAGTTTGGTTTGCATTGCCAGCAGTAAGTCAGACCCCTTCAGGGTGGGAGTTGGACTCCGCCAGGGCTGCCCGTTGTCACCGATTCTGTTCATAACTTTTATGAACAGAATTTCTCAGTGCAGCCAGCTGGCGGAGGGTTTCTGGTTCGGTGGCCTCAGGATTCAATTGCTCTTTGCAGATGATGTGGTCCTGTTGGTGTCGGCGTGCCTTTATCTTCAGCTCTTACTGGAGCAGTTCGCAGCCAAGTGTGAAGCAGCTGGGATGAGAATCAACACCTCCAAATCTGAGGCCATGGTCCTGAACCAGAAAAGGTTGGATTGCTCTCTCCTCACCTATGGTCACGAGCTCTGTGTAATGACCGAAAGAGTGAGATGACGGATACAGGCGGTTAAAATGAGTTTCCTCCGCAAGGTAGCTGGACTCTCCCTTAGAGATAGGATGAGAAGTTCAGTTATCAGGAGAGACTCGGAGTAGAACGGCTGCTCCTCCACATCGAGAGGAGCCAGTTGAGATGGTTCGGGCATCTGGTAAGGATGGCCCCTAGACGCCTCCTTTGGGAGGTGCTTCGGGCATGTCTGACTGGGAGGAGGCCCCAGGGAAGACCCAGGGCACCCTGGAGAGACTAAAGTTTCTCGGTTGGCCTGGGAACGCCTTGGAATCCTCCCAGAAGAGCAGGAAGAGGTGGCTGTGGAAAGAGATGTCTGGGCCTCCCTGCTCAAGCTGCTGCCCCCACGACCTGACTTTGGAACAAGCGGAAGATGATGGACGGACGGACGGACCTGATTGAGTCCAGTATAAAAAACCTAAATACAAGAACAAACAACGCTGTCTTAACAAGTGTTTTTCAAAGTGTGGGCCGTGCCCCCCCACCCCAAGAAGAAGATTAAAAAAATAAATAAAATAGTAATAATAATAAAAACTGCACACTAGAGCAATCTGTATCTGTAATTTCCAGATAAACACGTTTGAGAGAGATATTTCTTTTGTTTTGTTCTTCTGGTCAACAGTTTGTTGAAAAGTTATTTTCAGTGGGAATATAATACAGTGTTTAAAACATTATTAACATTTTGATGCTCAGCAGCTGTAATAATTCAGTAAATGTAGTGAATAAAAGTTAAATCATTCTAAAAGTTTATGTTTCTTTACATATTTTAGCATTGTTTGCGGGTTTGCGAGGGGGAGGGGAAGGCTCAGCCAGAAGCTAATGTTTGTGGGGGCTAGGGCATGGAAAAGTTTGGGAACTCCTGCCCTAAACAACAATGTTTAAAGGACTTCCCAGCTAAAGAACTTTTGCATATTAACTTAGTTCTTACAATGAAAGCTCAATGGAATAGATTTCATGACTTTTAATAACCGGAGTTTTCCTGACAAATATATATTTTATTCCCAAAAGACCAGAGCAAGGCCAAACATCTGAATAACATTAACTGTTCCTAAAGCTCCTACTTTGAATACCTGCTGTCTGACACATTTCATTAGCTGTTTTCCTGATCAGTATCTGGCGTCCCGCTCTACCTTTCATCACATGTTGAATGCTGCAGCAGAGGGGAACCTCCACCTGAAAGCCCCCCCCCCCACACACACACTTCAGAAATCAAGAGGAGCTCCTCTTCATTAGCCTAATTCCCTAATTAACAGAAAGCTAATTACTTTGT